CAGGCGGGGATGCGGGAGGGGCGGCTGGTGGTGGGGCGGTGAAGATCCGCGGTGGCTTTGGGCCTTAGGCAAGTGCGGGAGCAGGGATGGGGGCGGGGGCTGGGTGGCACCTGGGAGGGAGAACCCAGCATCTCCCGTGTGTGATCTGCCATGGCAGCGGCTGTCTCTCCCTTGCCTGTCTAGCACCGCCCTGGTGTTCAACCGTGGTCAGTATCTCATCTCCTGTTTCCCCACCACAGAAGCTGACCTTCACTGGGAAATGTCGCCTGACCTGCCTCTATGGTGCAGTCCAAGTGTTTGGATTTACCATCACTCAGGATCAGCCTTCCTACGACCTCTTCTCCCCTCAGACCCACTGTGCCCTGACCATCGAAGCAGTGTCCTACGAGACGCTGGAGCAATCCAAGAAGGAGATGAGGATATCAGCCAGGGCGATGCTCAGAGCCCATCATGTGCCACGTGGTGAGCATGGGCTGACCAGTGTGCTTGGGTGGGGAGTCTGCTATTTGGGGGTGTAAAGAGCCATTAGGGCTGGTTGCATGTAGGGCTGCCCTTAACCAATTGCTTTGGGGCAGACTGAAGAATTCCAGAGACCTTGTAGTGAGATAAGCCTTTTATCTTTGTGTCACCATTCTGAATGCAGACTAGAGTTGTGATCAAAAGTCATCTTCACCTGACATGATTCAGTGGCCTCTGTGAAATGACGTAGGGTGGTCCCAGTCTAGCTACATGTCCTCATCACCACTATTGCTGCTGATGCGTTTTCTGACTGTTTCTCTAGAGGCAAAGCAGAATAACTTCCCATTAGAATCAAATTTTTAATAGTGAGGGTAGTTAACCATTGGTACAGATTACCAAATGCTGTAGTAAATTTTCTATTGCTGGCAGTTCTTAAATCAAGACTGGATGATTTTCTAAAAGATGTGCTTTATTCAATCACAAGTTGTTGAGCTGGAAGCAGGAATCACTGGTTGAAGTTCTAGGGCCTCTTTTATATAAGAGGCCAGACTAGGTGATCCTAAAAGGTCACCTGGACTAAGGGGAGAGGTGTGTTTCATGCTGTGTCTGTCCAGTGGGTACTACAATCTTTACGGCCATCCAGCCATCATCTTTCCCACACTACATTCACACACACAAATATTTGGTCTATAGTTGTAAACGTAGTCACTGGCAAACTCTCAAGATTGCCTTTATAACTTTTGCATGGCAATGAAAATGACTGAGTGTTGTTTATTGCCTTGCTTTAGAGTACTAATATACTTCCTCATTTTCCATGGAGCTCTGTAGTTTTATTTCTTCAAGTACAGGACTGGAAAATAGGAACTCATGAATTCTAATTCTGCACATCACTGACTTCTTGGCAAATCACATAAGAGGTTTGCTTCTCTTTCCACATTTGTCAAATGGAGGTGATACCTACCTCACAGGTATTAAGAAGGTCAGATAATGTAAAAAGTATTTGTTCATTGTATCAGTTTTGGACTTGAATTCTACTTTGTGTGAAATATAGTGTTTTAAGACTAACTGTTGTCATCTTGCAGATGCTAGAATAAAACTGATGAAAAATTTTGCCCCTTTATGTTCTGTGGTGCTGTTGGATGGTCTGGATACTTCGGTTACAAGATTCATTCTTAATCACCCAGAGTTCTCCCATATCTTCAGAGTAAAGGTGAAATGCATCTTCCATTTCGTTACTTAATGGAAATCTTGCATTTGTTCAATCTTACCCTATGGGAATTGTTTTATGAGGAAGAAAAATTTGCTTGGCTTCAGGAGAAGATCAATTGTGTATGGAGCAATAAAAATGTGGGTCAGAAAAACAGCATGCGTCATGTGTATAAAATTCAGACTAATTTCCAGGAATTGTGAAGTAAGGGGGTACAGTTCCATAGAGGTATTCTAGTTATTTACCATAAGACCAAAGCTTGAATCATGTATGTAGTCATTAAAAGTCAACATTTATTGATATTTCATTAGCCTATTACTGAATCAGTGATGGAATTATAACAATGTAAATTAGTTGTAATTCATTCTTTTATATATATATGATGCATGGATCTATCCTTTGCCAGAACTTCACTCCCTCTTATCCTTCTTAGTCCTTTGTTGCAGTCACTTTCTTGCTAGTGTCTTCCCATACGTTTCTTCCCACACTCCCCAGCCCTCTGGTGTTTCCTGTTCTGTCTGCAGTTGGTGGCAGCTCCACTTGACTGGCCCAGCCCCATTATTGTTTCCAGAGCACCTTGTTTCATGTTCCAATCATGTCCTCTTCCTATGTCTGTCATGTGACTTTCGGGTGTGCTGCCAGGCCTTTGAATTATAAGGCTGGTTTCCCATGGATTACAATGGTCTGCATGCTGTAGACCTGTATATAATAATACCTAGCTCTTATAGAGTTTTTCGTCAGTAGATCTTCAAGTGCTTTATAAAGGAGGTATCATTCTCCCCATTTTAGACATATCTGTCTGTGGTATTTATAAGGTGCCATTTGCTGTAATAAGTAGGGGTTAGAACGTCAGTGAAGATGAGACCTTGTTCCTAGCACTTCCTTCCTATCACCTGGACTTAAGACTTCTGTAGAACTAGAACAGAGAAGACAATTAATGTGACTAAATCATTCTGTGCTGGTACCACTGTCCAGTCAAATAAGACAATAGGAGTTATTCTGGAGTTATTTTGTATTTGGTGTGTTATGAATTTGCTAAAACCTTTCTCTGTTATATGCTTGCTGATCTGTAGAGACAAAGTGGTTCTTGCTTCACACCAGAAGATGCAGCTCTAGCTTCTACTGGTATTGGGAAACGTGATCCTGAAAGTGGCCTGCTTTTGTCAGAGAGTTCAGTTTCAGCAATTGAAGAGTTAATACAAGCGTGTTGTGGTGAGTATCTTAAATTGATGGAACTGAATATGTTACATTTTGCAATGATCTAAAGGGAGCAAAAGCTTCTTTCTCAGAGTTTGTTTCTTAAGTTCATCCTTGTGAAACCATGCCCTGACAAAAGTGAAAAGGTTGGGTCAAATTTCAAGCCTTTTTAGAGTTTCTGAACCAAACGGAGTGTGAGTTACCTTATTTTGAGGTACTTAGAGGGGGAGGAGGGAGTGTTTATATGACCCATAAGGCTTTTTGCTGCCGTGCTGATCTGCCACCAAAACTAATGTGCCTTTATGATGATTTGGTAGGGGAGAAATCAGTTTTTGTCCATCCACGCCCCAAAATAATTTCCCGTAGGCAAGTAGAATTTTGCAAGGCTGGTTTTGTGCCCAGGTGTTGAAGTCTACCCTCTTAGAAGGCTTTTTAGTTTGTGCTTATAAATGTAAATACCCTCCTCACCTTTAAACAAAACTATCTAGTTCTGGTTCCAAAGTGCAAATATAAGCCCATGTTATGTAAACTGATCTTTCAATGAAAATGCTCAGCTCTTGAGATTAAATTTTTGTCAACTTTTGTGGAGTAGGATGCATGAGATTAATTTATAGTAATGGTCCATTTCAGGGTATGTTTGTTTTTCCAGAGGAAGATGATGGTTGTCCTGTCATTCTGGTGTGTGGCCCAAAAAGTA